TGGACGTGCCAAGTCACGATGGCGCAAGATATTTCATCACATTCATTGATGACTATAGCCATCGAACATGCATCCACTTCTTGATGCGTAAAAGTGATGCAATTGCTGCCTTTCAAACGTATAAGGTGTACATTGAAAACCTCCTTGGTCGAAAGATAAAAGCTCTTCGAGTTGATGGTGGTGGTGAATACCTCAACAATGAGCTTCGGGGCATCTGTCGTGATGTAGGCATAAGACTGCAAGCTACAGCCTGCTACACCCCCCAGCAAAATGGTGTTGCAGAAAGAAAGAATCATACTCTTGTCAATGCTGCTCGTGCTTTGTTAACTAATGCACATCTTGACAAGATGTTTTGGCAAGAGGCCATAGCCACAGCAATGCATGTACAAAATCGCCTTGCCACGGCTGCTTTGGATGGAAAAACCCATGAGGCATTTTGGACAGGTTCTACTCCTGATGTGTCCCACTTTCAGGTCTTCGGTTGTGCAGCATATGCACATACCCTTGATCAACTTTGGAAAAAGCTAGATCCCAAGAGTAAAAAATTCATCTTCATAGGATATGCATAGGACAACACTATCGGGAGAAAAGCTTACAAGTTGTGGGATCTTGCATCTCACAAGGCTATTGTAAGCACAGATGTCATGTTCAATGAAGACGACTTTCCCATGCGTACAGAGGCTCTTCAAGATCCTTCCTTTATTGCTGAGACTTGACTTGTTCCTTTGATCCCACTTATGGGAGATGGTCCACTCTTGCCTCCGCCTCAAGATCCTATTCATGAGTTGCCACCAGAGATTCCATTGTGGAATCCTCCACTTCTGGACATGCTTGAACCAGCTGATCCTCCTCTAGTTGAGGACAGGCCTCCAACACCTCCACCACCTTGTCGACGTCGTGGCATGCCTGATCCGATGCCAGTTCTTGATCACCCCTGGGAACGTCAGCCCTCGTTAAAAGTCCGGGAAAATGCTGAAGCAGATGCTGCAGAGCTTGATGACTTTTGTGGCCTTGTTGACATCGGCATCCCCATGACCTATGATAAGGCCATCTTAGGACCTGAGGCTTCATCTTGGATGGAAGCTATTGCGGAAGAAGTTTCTTCCATTCGGGCTAACGGAACTTATGTTCCAGTTGATTTAGCGCCACCGGGACGACGTGTTTTGGATCCAAAATGGATTTTTTCCAAAAAGTATGGGAAGATGGCCAGGTTGTACGTTATAAGGCACGGTTGGTTGTTCGCGGTTTTTGCCAAGTCCATGGCCTTCACTACGATGAAACATTCTCACCGGTTGTAAAAATGGCCAGCCTCCATACTCTTTTTGCCCTTGCGGCTGCTCGCAAATGGCAAGTCCACCATATGGATGTCAAAACTGCATTTCTGAATGGGGATTTGCAAGAGGACATCTATATGCATATACCTCCTGGTTTTGAGGACGATGTTGCCCTTGGTAGCCTTATATGGCAATTGCGGAAAGCTTTGTATGGCTTAAAACAGAGCTCCTGTATTTGGTATCAAAAATTTGATGCCACCCTACGTGCTCAAGGCTTTCGTCGCTGTTATGCTGATCACAATGTGTATGTCAATGGTCATGCTGAGTGCATGGTTATTGTGGCCCTCTACGTTGATGATTTGCTCATCATGGGTGATGACAACGATGCCATTGCTGCTCTGAAAGATGCTCTCAGCCAGCAATTCCAGATGAAGGACCTTGGCCAAGTCTCCTACTTTCTTGGCTTTGAAGTCACATGTGATCTTGATTCTGGTGGCTACATGCTTAGCCAACGACGTAAAGTTGAAGTCTTGCTGGATCGGTTTGGTATGCGTGATTGCCACCCCATCAAGACCCTGATGGTCATTGGTGCTATCGACCTCACAGTTGAGCAGTCTGGTGATCTTCTACCCACTGGGACTCCCTATTGGCATCTCATTGGTTGCCTCACATATTTGGCCCTGATGACTTGCCCCGACATCACATATGTGACTATTGCCTTGAGTCAGTACAACACATCACCAACCACCATACATTGGCAAGCTACCAAGCGTATCGTGAGATACCTTCGGGGCACTATGGATTATGGCATTGCTTATTCAGGGGGTGATGCATCATTAGCATGTTACACAGATGCTAGTTTTGCCAACAACAAAGGTCATCACTCGACTTCTGGCATTTGCCTTTCCTTCTCAGGAAGTGCCATCACGTGGGCCTCCAAGCGACAATCTGTGGTGGCCCTTTCTAGTGCAGAAGCGGAGTGCATCGCACTCACTACTGGTAGTAGGGACGTGGTCTGGGCTCGAGGGTTACTTGCTAAGCTGGGATGTGCATGAGCTGGCCCCACTACTTCTTGGTGTGACAACCGAAGCAGCATTGCCATGTCCAAGAACCCCGTCCACCATGCCCGCTCGAAGCACATTGAAGTCCAATTTCACTACGTGCGTGAGTTGGTTGACGGGGGCACCCTCGCCGTCCAACATCTCGGGACACAGGATATGCCAGCCAATCTTCTCACTAAGCCGTTGGGGTCACACCAGTTTCAGCTCCTACATGACAGATTTGGTTTGGTGAGTGGCTTCGGTTTGGGGGGGAGTGTTACACGACACACCCTCGCCACGTGTCCATTAGGGTTTTCCTGTTCTGTCCGCTAGCGGGGTGAGTGGCTTCGGTTTGGGGGGGAGTGTTACACGACACACCCTCGCCACGTGTCCATTAGGGTTTTCCTGTTCTATCCGCTAGCGCGGTGTGCTTTGATCCCGATTTGTCTCAAACATTACCTAGTGGCGCAAACAATCGGCCCTGTGTGATTGCTGTGCCTTCTCTGCAGAAAAAGGCTCCGAATGGGCTTTTTCATCCACCCTAACTTGGGAATCACAAGCTCCATCTGCCAATGTAACAACCAAAAAGAAACATTGAGCACCGCCACCAGCTGCAAGCCTTGAATGCCGCGAGCACCAGCGACCTCTGGAGAAATCTCTCGGTTCCCCGATGCACGAGTTGTAGAAGCGCTTCCTGCCCCAGCACCTCCCGGATCCATGAGCTATAGAAGTGTTTCCCTGATCATCGATTGGGAGCTGCTCTTGTTGCCCGCGCCACAGGTTGTCGCGGTCCTTGATCGAGCTCCCAGTGCGGAATTTGGCGTCCAGCTTGCTGGGTTCGTCTTGTAGCGCTTGCTCTTTGGTGCAACAGATCTAGAAAAAAGTGATTTCTCGGAGGATCATCAAAGCATTTTCAAGAGAAAGATCTGCCCAACAAATGGTAGCCGATGACGTGGCACGCTGCCAACCCAAGTGGAGCGTCACATCAACATTGGTTGTTTACTACTCATTCTACATGACAATATTATGGAGCAAACATCTCTTCAGCTTTCTGAAGAAATTTGTTCTTCGACGTGATGGGTTTGTGCTTAGCGATGTTATGGCTGAAACTAGCTGTCAGTTACTTAGGATTAAACATGCATTCAACACCGCACACTGCAGTATGTGTGGGGTGAGCTGATCTATGACACTGTCTCTTGGTTTAAATTCTCGCATGTTGAATTCTACAAATGAGTCAACGAAAGTTAATGTAGCGTTGGGAGGACAAATCAACAAGCACTACCTCCAGAAATACCATTTATGTTACTTTCATGTGTTGATCAACAAATACAGTAGACCTGAAACAGGAGGTTCAAGAAAAGGAAAAACCCCTTGGAAGTTATTTTACTAACCTTGAAGTAGGGATGATGCCTAAGCATTTTTCCATGGTATTCATGATGGTAGAACTTATAATGTTCTCAATGTTTATCCTAGTGTGAGCAACAATTCTACCCATAATGTTCATGTCAATGTGCGTGGAGTTAAGGATGTCAGCATACTATCAGTTCAGTGAACTAACTTTTACATGAAAATATGAATACTTATGAAACTTGAACATAGAATATTTACCTCATTCATCATAGCCAATTAGAAATTGTCATCTTTTGTATATTTAGTAGCTCTTGTAGTAGGATCACTGAATGGCTCAATCACAGGGTTTTGCAGGAACTTTATCCCATGTATGTATGTTATCTGATAGCTTGCCAAGTTGCACACGAACAAGCTCTAGATGGATCCATGAATTTGACTTCACCCATGTTGAGTGCCCCACATGTGGGAGCTAATCCGATGTTTAAGATAGTCTTGGACATTCGAGTTGACAATGTTGACCTATCTATTAGTCAAATGCTAGCTAAAACTGAATGTGAAAGTCAAAATGCTAGATGATATTTCCAAATACTTACAATCAGCTGAAACTAGGCATTTGTGCTCAAGACAAAGCTCATAACAGCAAGAAGAATGATTGATGGGACTTTTGCCAAAGCTTACCCGGTGCTACTGGAGCATATTCTGTAAGGAAGTGGATATGTTGGCCAGTAGGGAGTGGAGTCCAGGTGTGATTCAGCCGGGCAAAAGGGACTTGTATACGACATTCAACCGTATTAATCTTACCTCTGTAACTTTGGATATACCAAAGCATAACGGGCGAGGATTTGAACTGTACTTTCAACAAGCTATGACCAACGTAGCTGTTTCATAGACATAAGCCCGTGTGGTTTTGTGTCATGGTTTCTTGTGTTGATCTTCTAGTGACTTGCAGATTTCTCTATGAGTTCGCCCTCGATCAATATCTAGGTCTTGCTGAAAACTGCAGGCAAAAATTTCTCAACTATCTATCGAAGTTCAAGTTGCTGAGGGATGGCAGCTGAAAATCTCAAGAAAATGAAAAGAAAGAATGGACACCTGCTGGGAAACCACTGCTTTTGGTGAGGACTTTCACCTTAGTCATATCATTCTGGTACCTCAGAGCTTCTTCGCTGCCTTAAAAAAATGATGAGACTTTATATAATAAGAAGCTTCGTATGTCTTTCATATTGTGATTTTAAAAAGTTATATTGCTGAACAATACATTGCTGGACTTCCTCCCAGATTGTTAAACTTTTACGATCTTCTACGCAGCACACAGTCGGCTTGCCATGACATTTCGTACCTCTATATAATATTGTGATAAAATCTTTGCTTATCAAACTAAGATCCTTGTGAGCAAACATTTCTTGCAACTGTTTTATTTGTGAGAATGAGAAAAAATTGGTGCCTTTGACTACCCAAGACTCAAGCCACATAGACATTCTTCCCGGAGAAGTGCTCCGTGTACACCTCGTGCATGTAATCCCTATAAGTCCTGCTGCGGTACTTTGCTGGACTGTCCCGGCTCACCAGCTCTGGAATCGGGCTGATCTCCGCGTCTAGTGACGGCCCCAGGAACGCCCCAACGGACAGCCTTGAGCTCTTCGAGTTCACCATCACCCTGTGCAATATGCTCTTGTATCTCCCATTGCTGAGCTTCTGATACAAGACAATCAACCAAGACAAAGATCAATCCACAGTTTCTCAAAACGTTTTCGACTGCTCGTACCTCTAGCTGATCGCCCATGTTGACCACCAGCATTCCCTCGAGTGGCCTCACGTTGTACCAATCCTCGCCTTGCTTCAGCTGCAATCCCCCGACTCCATCCTGGAGCACAAACGTGAGGCCGCCGCTGTCAGTGTGGCCTTCCATGCCCAAGGCCTGCCTCGGGTTCGGGCAAGCCGGATAGAAGTTTGCTCTCGTCAGAAGAACCATGTCTGCGAATGCTTCCAGAAGACGGTTTGAGCGGAGGCCAAGTCCCTCGGACATGACCAACAGCATCCTCTTCCCGAGCTTGAAGATGTTTCTGGCGTACTCGGATCCAACGTCCCTGTTGCATATAGAGCGTCAGCAATCTAGAGCAATACCGTAATCAAGGAGTGAGAAACTGACTTGTAGCTGGCTGGGAACGCGGGCCAGGGGTGCGCTCCGAGGGACTCTTCCTTGAGCCACATCTGGAGGTGGTCGTGCCACTCGAGCTTCTCTTCTTTCGAAGGCATCATGCTGGTGCAGTAGCGGACGGGTGTGAAGATCTCCTCGGTGTAGTATCGCATCTTGTCCTGGCTGGGCGAGTTGAAGAACTCGAGAGCGCACCTCATCACATCCTCGGTGTGAATTCCGTGGTTCTTGAGCTGCAAGTCAGAAGAACAACAACTTAGCAAACATGTACTACAGGAAAAAGATCTTTCTTGAAAACTTACGTAGAAAATTCCGTACTTTGTACAAGCGTCAACGAGATCCCTCTCGAAGCTCTCGCTTGCCACATCGACTATCGGCAGCACCGCGTACCGGGAGACATCGGCAGCTTCATTCGGCATCATGTATCTGTCTGGAACGCTGTCCAGCATCCCGTTGCAGCTGTCAACAAATGCCTTGATGCCAGCCATGGATGGGACTGTGTAACCAAGAAAGCTTGAAAGATGAAAGATTGTATGCTTGGATGCTAGGCTTTCTCAACTTTGAGATGCGGATATCAGTGTCCTCCCAGTGCCCTGCTTATATAGTTGCAAAAAATAAGATTTTCAGGTCGGCAGCACGAAGATGATAAAAACGTTACCATTGCGCCGATTCCGGATCCGCCCCCGCTCAAGACCAATTTGTAGACTTTTCCGTACCCGTGACTTGACCAGCGTCCGCATCTGACCCTGCCCCAGATCCACATCAAGCGTCAATGCTCAACTTAGTTGACCCACGACATAGAAAATTGGAGCCACGAAACTTCGGAATTGTCACGTTTTTGTATCGAACAGGAAAGATCGTCCACGCAAGTCCGGTCGTGGCACGGACTGCAAAAACAAAAGCCTTTGCATAAAGGACGATGATTTTATAGAGCTTTCTTGTTACCTCACAGCGCTGGCGGCAATGGCGCTAGCAATGGCCAAGGAACTCTTCTCCATCGCCAGCAATCGCTGGATCATCGCAGTGTCGGGCTTCTACCTGATAGCAATCACCGGAGGCACGCTCACCAGCTTCAGCTTGTTCTCGCAAGAGCTCAAAGTCTCCCTGCATTACAAGCAAGAGTCCGTCAATACCATCAGTTTTTTCAAGGATCTCGGCACCAGCATGGCTTTCCTGGCCGGCTTGCTCAATGCGAGAGTCGGACCCCGTCTCACCATGCTCGTCTCCGCATTGCTCAACTTGTTCGGCTACACCATGGCCTGGCTCGCCATCACCCACCAGATTGCTCGTCCACCGGCATGGCAAATGAGCTTCTACATGTTTCTCGTCGGCGCCTCTGTAGGCTTTGCAGTCACGGCTGTCCTGTCGACCTGTGCCACGAACTTCCCCAAACATCACCAGGGGATGCTGCTGAGCTTGCTCGACGGCAGCAATGGCCTGGGAGCAACCGCATTCGCGGTTGTGTTCCAGACTTTCTTCCAGTTCCACGCTCGCTCCTTTCTGCTCTTCCTGGGGCTGCTACCGACGTTCCTGTATCTGCTGCTTGGCCTCTTCCTCGGGCCCGTGCCTGTCGTCGAGAGGCCCAGCGACAAGCCCATTCTTAACTCGTTCCTCATCACCACTTTTGCCTTGGCGGGCTATCTCCTCGTCGTCACAGTCATCGAGGGGACCATACCGAGCAGGCTTCCAGACTCGGTGCCTTTGGTGTTCTTCGGGTTGATGCTGGTCATCGTCCTACCTCCGGTTGTTCTGGTTGTCCGAGCTGAGCTTCGATCACATTCGAACGGTGCTGGTGTTGTCGATCAACTGCAAAGCATCCAGACACCACCGCCAACTGAGAAGTCTGTCGAGCAACTTGAAAGCATCCACGCACCACCGCCAACTGATAAGTTTGAAGCTCAGCTCGCGGATATGAATTCCACCCCGAGTGCTCTGCAAGTCGTCGACCATTCTCAAGCTTCCGGCGCTGGCAGCTGCAGATGGTTCCAAGTCCCGGCGAGAGGTAAGGACTACAGGCTCGTCCACGCCTTGCTGAGCATCGATATGTGGCTCATGCTCATCGCGACTTCCTGCGGCCTGGGAACCGTGTCCACCTTCTACAACAACTTGGGCCAGCTGAGCGACTCCCTGGGATACTCCACCGCAAGGATGAACATCTTCGTGGCTCTCCTCAACATCTGGGACTTCCTGGGAGCAATCGGCTGCGGCTTTGCGTCCGAGATACTCCTGCACAAGTTTGGCATTGGACGGCCGTTCGTGTTCGCTGCGGTGGTCGGCTTTCTAGCGCTCGGCAACTTGCTCATCGCCTTGGGCCTTCCCGGCGCGCTGTACATCGGCTCCATCATCATCGGCCTCGCCACCGGAGGCCAGTGGGCGGTGCTGTCGACCATCATCGCGGAGATCTTCGGGCTCAAGCACTATGGAGTTCTCCAGAGCTTCCCAAACATCGCAAAGGGGATTGGGACGTTCGTCCTATCAGTGGAAGTTGCGGGTGTGTTTTACGATCGGCAAGCCAGGAGATACCGGGGCCCCGACACGCTGGAGGCCGGGCTCTTGTGCCACGGTGCCAAGTGCTACAGCGAAACCTTCTTCGTCATGGCCGCTACCTGTTTGTTTGGGTGCGCCATCGCCGTGGTTCTCAGCTTGAGGTCCGCCAAGTTCTACCGTGCGGAGGTGAGGCCCAAGTTGATGAGAAAAGTTGCTCCTGCTACTGTTGACGATGGAGTCCAGTCATGCTAGCAGAGCTTTCATCTTCCATTTTTTTTGGGTCCAAGCTGTACAAGAACCAATGATCACATGAAAGGCCAAACAATAAGAGTAGAATAGGATGCTTCCAGCGTTTTTCAAAAAATAGAACTGGCAAGAGCTTCCGGAGCGACCAAATGCTTTCTTTCTTTCCTGGAGGGCCGTGCATTTCAATCGGAGGGAAGAATGCTATCATCCCAATGCTAGAAATACTCCAGCGCCAGAGCGCTTGGGATCGGATTCTTACCTCGATCGAGAGTGGATGAGAACAGGATCACTACGCCCTTTTAGGGTTTTTCGCCCTTTTGATTCAGTATTTAACTGGGCTTTTTTAGGGTTTACTCGACAATGGTGCTAGGAGAACTCGGCAGCCGCATCTCTGGCGCGATCCAGAGGCTCAACACCGCGACCGTAATCGACGACAAGGCACTCACGATTTGCGTGAACGAGATCACCCACGCACTGCTCCAAGCCGACGTCCAGTTCAAGCTGGTCCAAGCGCTCTCCTCAAACGTAAGGAAATCGGTGGAGAAGCTCGCGGCCGGGCATGACAAGAGACATATCATCCAAAAGGTGACCATTCCTTCGATTCAATGATTCATGATCTAATCTTTATCTCTAGGCTGTTTTCCATGAACTCCGTGCCATGCTTGACGCTGGAAAGCCATCGTTTACTCCCACAAAAGGAAGAACCAACGTCGTCATGCTCGTGGGATTGCAAGGGTGTGGGAAGACCACGACGTGCACCAAGTATGCTCTTCACTACAGGAAGAAGGGCTTTAATCCGGCTCTGGTCTGCGCGGACACCTTCCGGGCTGGAGCATTCGATCAGCTAAAGCAGAACGCCACGAAGGTGAAGATCCCCTTCTACGGAAGCTATACGGAGACAGACCCGGTGGTGATTGCCCAAGAGGGCGTCAGGAAGTTCGCCGACGCAAAGCACGACTTGATCATTCTTGACACTAGTGGAAGACACAAACAAGAGAATGCGCTGTTTGAGGAGATGCGCCAGCTTGCCGCTGCTACAGTAAGTTTTCTTCGTTTTTTTAACGGCTTAAATTAACGAGGATACTTAGCATTTGCTCTCGAACTTTACAGAACCCCGACTTGATCATTTTCGTCATGGATAGCAGCATTGGGCAAGCTGCGAATGATCAAGCACTGGCCTTTAGAGAGAGCGCTAAGGTCGGTGCTGTTATAATCACCAAGATAGATGGCCATGCAAAAGGTGGCGGCGCTCTTAGTGCGTAAGTATTCCTTTAGTTCGATTTCGTAGACATGATGTGATATACTAAAATCTTGACAATTGCCAGGGTAGCTGCAACAAAAAGCCCTATAATTTTCTTGGGAACTGGAGAAAAGGCAGACGCTTTTGAAACTTTCGAGTCCAAAGCTTTTGTCAGCAGATTACTCGGTAAGTTTATCTCTCTTTTTCCCCATCTGGAACTTGGAATAGACTTCTGATTCGACTCAACGTGTTTTTCCAGGCATGGGAGATATAGCTGGTTTTGCTAACAAAATCAAAGAGGTTGTTCCAAGTGAATTGCAGCCAGAGTTGGTGCAAAAACTGGCGGATGGAAACATCAGTTTTAAATTCTTGTGCGATCAAATTGAGAACATTACTAGCATGGGATCTCTAAGTCAGGTATGATAATGGCTGAGATCTTACTAATCTTGAAAGTATCCACTGATTTTTCTGATTGTGTGCGCAGCTCATGTCCATGATTCCAGGATTCAACAACATAAATGTGCAGAGTTTTGACATTCAACAGTTTAGGAAATACAGAGTAATTCTTGACTCTATGACAAATGAAGGTGGTCTCAAACTCTGCCTCTGATTCGAATGCAAAGCTAACCATTGAATTGCAGAACGCAACAGCTCCAGTTTGTCGGAATCTCGTATACTCCGACTCGCTAAGGGCTCGGGAACCAGTGTTGACAACGTCCAGCAGATGGTGAATCATGTAAAAACAATGTCCAAACAGATGAAAGGCCTGAAGCTCAACAAGAAAGGGGACCTCGGCAAAGGAAAGAGTATGCAAGACTTGAGTAAGATGCTGCCAGCAAACATTGTCAAGCAATTTGGTGGAATGGGAGGGCTCCAAACTTTGATGAAGCAATTGCCAAGATAGAAATGCTAAAGGAAAATAGTGAGTCATACTTGCATGGAGTGTTGAGTGTCTTCATTCACAGCATGGTACCTCTGGGGTGAGGAAAGATGCCCAAGACTAGAGGAAAATATAGCTCAATAGCTGCTAAGTGAGATTAATCTAAATGAATATGAACAACTCAGTTTTTATTCATAAGCAGATATTTAATTTGTAAGTTAAACCTTATTTCACTGACATATCCTATATTTATGTCTACTAAATAAATGTATTTTTATTTTATTTTTTTGGTCTACCAGATTTATGGCTATGTATTTCATCATTAGAGCTCTCTTTGTAATTTTATTTTTAGCACCTTTTTTCCTCATGAAATCTTTGAGCATGTAAATATTTAAATTATAGTTTAATTTTAAATTAATTACTTTTTCTTCTTGTGTTCAGAGACAACATAGAGATTTCTTTCCAAGGTACACATTAATATCTATTCACTTACCAGCTTGATATAATGAGGAAGAATGGGAATAATCATTAAAAAATTTAAGTACCAAAAAACATTTAACAAAAAATGTTTATCTATTTTATTTTACTTTTGCTATAAGGAATATTGTCATTATAACAAATTAGATATATAAATGATACGAAAAAGTAAAACTCTTAAGAAACACTTCAAGATTTATAAAAAGGAAGATAATTAAATATATATTATTTAAAATATACAACACACATGCACATACATAAATATGTGTGTGTCTATATATATATATATATATAAATATTATAGGTGATATAAATAATTTTGTTAACAAAGTAAATTCAGAATTGATGAAGATATTAGAATCAACAAGTCCATTAGCACATCAACAAAGACACAATTGCTTAGAGATCTATTAACATTTATCACTATTTAAGTAGGTTCAACCATTTTTATTTTAATCTGTTTGTGTAAAATCTTAATAAATAATTTTGTTCTCACATATTTCATATATAAAATGCTAATTGTTTTAAAAATTGATTTATTATATGTACAAAATTTGACATATATACCTTATAAAATTTACTTTTTATTTTAAAGAATTTCAACTTCATTATTCACTCTCATACATATTTTATAATTTTAAAATTTTTATGGATATAAAAAAATATACAATTACAAATATACCAATTAATATATTTTTATATCCAAAGCTAGAGAATAACTTTTAAAATATTATAAATTTTGAATTTTCTCTTATAAATTAATGTAAAATGAATAACAGAAAAAACATTTTATGGAGATATGATACCTATTGTTTTACTAAAATCATTTAAGAAATTAAATTAATTTATTTACTAAAATAAATATAAAATGGTGTTATTAAACTTTACAATCATATTCTGATTTAAAAAGCCCACTGCTAATTAAAGAATAAAACTAATTCTAAGTAGTAGAGTTTATCTTTTTTTTATTATAGTGTAAATAGATGGGATGAACTTTTGAGAGCGGATGCCAAATAAGTTAACAAAAATCAAAAGTATAAATACTGTCTTCTGGAAGCACTATAACATCAATATCACATTTAACTTTACACTGAATTGTGCTTTTGGAATAGAGTAAGGATTTCAAAAATAAAAACAATAAAGTATCCAAGGTGAGTTAAAATTTTTATATTCTAATATAATGTGGGAGATATATATCTTATATCTCATATTATATATTTTATAGGGAAAAAATGAAAACAAAAATTAGGTGTTTTTTATTTTTTCTAATATTCTTATAATTTATTTACAATTCCTCATGATAAACTTCATTTTAAGCTTATACATCTTAAAATTTTGTCTTTAAGCTAGTGATTATTTTCAGTTGATATTTGTGACTAGAAATTAAAACACCATAATTTTAAAAAAAATTAGTAAATAGGTTAAATTTCATTACCTCTAAAACTAAAATAGAGTTGTAGAATCAAAAGATTAAATGATTGAATTTTATACATATTATTTTTAATATAATTAATATGAAATAATAAAATTGAGGATGAAGTTTCGTCTAGTCAAACTTTAAATATAACAAGTACAGCTTTTGTTATTTTTATGTTAACAAGATTTTTAGCATGTATTGCTTCATTTTTCTTTATCAAGTAGAGACTGCAACAAATGATCCTCCAAGCTCTATGAAAGATTTCTCCTCTCTCTTCTGACAATGGCTTAGACAATGTCATATAATTCATTCCATAGAAATATCCACTCTTGATTGTCCCAGATTAGATGCGAATGGCGACGAAGAGTCTACGCTGAATTTAGTGAATGAACTAACGTTGGTTTGAAAGATCAAACATGGCTAAGGATAAGTTCCGAATATTCGCCCTTCTTTGAAATAATTTGGGACTCGCGTTTGGACGAGAGCGAAATGGCTAAGTTTGCGATGTTGCTGTTGCCGGCTGTGGCAGCGCTCACGGCATTGGCGACAAATCCAGGGGCGGAGAACGAGGCAGTGACCGTGGAAGCGTGGGGACGAGGCGGAGCGCTCCTCTACACTCTGACCGCTGGAACCACCACGCTTCGCATCACTGACTGGGGAGCTACGATCACCTCTCTCACAATGCTCGATCCAAGAACAGGCAAGCGTCAAGGAGTGAATGATTGATTGATCCAATCAGTCCTGCTTTCTCTATTTATTTTTTATAGTTTTTCCAAGCTTTTCCTTGTCCAGAGTGCCAATCTCTGTCGCGACAGTCTGGTCGTCTTTGGACTCAAGTGTTTTGTCCTGACTTACAGGAAAGGATGTGGACATCGTCCTGGGGCTTGACTCGCTAGAACCTTACATGGTAAGTCCTGGAAAAACTTGCAAGGTTATTATCAGAACTCTCACCAGGATGGAACGTCACCTTACTTTGGTGCCATTGTCGGCCGGGTTGCTAACCGGATCAAAGACGCCAGGTTCACTCTCAATGGCACCACGTACTTCTTGATGGGCAACGATCATAACAACACCTTACATGGTTTGTCTTCAAATCTCGCAAAAGTAAAGGGCTAACGAGAGAGAGAGAGCAAATCACAGGAGGATTTATCGGCTATAACAACATACTCTGGCGGTCTCGAGTAGCATCAAAGGATCCTTCTTCACCGTCTGTCGAGTTTCTCCTGTACAGCTACAACACCGAGCAAGGTAAAGACCTGCAGAGACGAGTAAGAACCTTGAAACAAAAAAAAAAAAATGCCTTGCAGGATTTCCTGGCGACATAGACGTGACTGTAACTTATACCTTGTCTGGCGAAAACGAGCTGAGAGTGGAGCTAATCGCCTCGACCCGGAACAAGATGACACCGGTGAACTTGGCTCATCACAGCTACTGGAACCTCGCCGGTCATAACAGCGGGAGCATCCTTAACCACACGGTAAAGATCTTGGCTTCTCACTACACCCCTGTGGATGCTCTGCTTATTCCCACCGGAGAGATTGCTCCAGTGGCGGAAACGCCGTTCGACTTCCTCGAGCCGATGAGCATCGGCAGCCGCATTGAGTCCGTCCCTGGAGGATACGACCATAACTTCGCCTTGGATAAAACCGTTCGAGACGACGAAGGACTTTACCACGCCGTGACCCTGGAAGATCCCGTCAGCACGAGAAAGATGGAAATCTGGACGAACCAGCCAGGAGTCCAGTTCTACTCCGGTAACCAGATAGTGAGGATCGAAGGCAAAGGCGGGGCTGTCTATTCCAAGCATGCCGGCTTGTGTCTGGAGACTCAAGGCTTCCCTAACGCTGTCAACCAGCCAAACTTTCCGAGCGTGATCCTCAACTCGGGAGATGTCTATAACCATGTCATGGTCCATAAGTTCAGCAGCTCCTTGTGAGATGTCTCTGCCCTCTTAAGAAATTCATGAATCCACCTCTTCTTGTTGTCCACTCCTGCAAGGTGCACCATAAAGTCTCCAGTGGAATAAGTACCTTCACGTCACGATGAAGGAAATATATCAGACGACTCAAAGAACTCCAAAACCGGCTCTTACCTTTCCACACCATTCTCGTCATTACCAGAAGTCGATACACATTTCTCCAGGTAGGCATCCAGAGGTAAGAGTTGAATAAACACTGCATTCGAGGAACGTGGATGTGCTTTTGCCTTTCCTCCGCGGGCATAGACTGAATCAGAAACTTGAGCGCATCATTGTCTCCGCTCTTGGACTCGCCAAACGGTTTGATATGCGATGTCTGGTTCCACCACCGGGTGAGAAAGTCCCTGCTCCACGCACTGTCACGAATGAAGAACATCCCTGCAAAGAGTGTAAGCGAAAGGACACTACAAATGTAAAAAAAACTCGCCTGCATTGAATCCCGTCACGTCCTGCGTGATGATAAGATCTGGCCTGTCCTCATACTTGACATCTCCAAGCGTGGAACTCACCACCTCTTCCTAGTCTGCCAGATTAGTGCCTTTGAGATCTCAAACGAGACTTACCAGCGTCACTGCAAAGTTCGTCACGAGAGAGTCCTGGAAGGAAACTATGAGAAGCCAAAGACGAAAAAATCAATGGAGGAAGGAGAAAGATGGAGCTTACGGCATCGTTCCAGAAGATCCAGTCGTAGCTCCCCAGATGCTTGCGAACTGCCTTGATCTTGCTCCAGCTCGGGGGCCTCTCAGCGTCAAGAACGTCACTGGCGTCAATGAAGCCATAGCCATGCATCGCGGCGTATCTCTGCTTGTTGGGAGACACGAGCTGCATCATCCCGTGGAACGATCTGTGCGGCACGGTGCTCAGATCGTCGGAGCAGCTCACAATCCCAAAACTCAACTCCTGTCGCGGGCCAATCCCACTGCTGCATTGCCTTCCAAGCCTGTTGGCATTCAAGAGGAGAAATCTGGCGCACAGAGAGGCCGCGATTGCGGTACCGGCGATGGCGAATAAGAGCGCCAATGCGGTGACGAGGAGGCGGGGGCCGCGGCGCCGCCTAATCATCCGTGAGACTGACCTCTTGTCCGAATCGCTCTTGAGTGGGGCGAGGGGGGCTAGAGAATCCTCGTGCCGCCGACGAAGGCTGCGATTTCCCATAGCTCTGCTTAGAACAGAGAATAGGGCAAAATGAGTTTTAAGGACATAAAGTTCCAAAGATATTTGGCTTATCTTAATATTAAACACACTTAATGTAATTGAATAGATTTTTTGGCAAGAAACTCGCTTTATAACAGCCTTGGTGGTTTTGGATATAATCTTGGGAGAGTATAAGCTCATTAGTAGCGATCAATGGGTGATAATCGAGGGAGCTCCAAGAAGAGAGTTTTGAGCATCGATGGAGGAGGGGTGAGAGGATTGATCGCAAGCCAGATCCTGGAACACCTCGAGCAATGCCTACAAGTAAAATTTGGATAAATATTTGTTTCAATTGTTAGGATTGATCATATCAGGATTTGGATGGAGAGCATGCGAGAATAGCAGATTATTTCGATATGATCTCTGGGACAAGCACTGGAGGGATAATGTGTTTGATGCTCGCAGTTCCCGACAGCCAAGGAAGACCCCTGTTCACAGCCAAACAGATAACTGATTTTTACCTCAAGAACTCGAGTACCATCTTTCCTCAGAGCATGTAAAAATCATGTCTTTTTACTTCTTAGTTCCTCGTGAATTTTTTCGTATGCTTGCCAGATTTACCGCTGCAAATGGTCTCTTTGGTCCCAAGTATGCAGCCCATCCTATAGAGAGAATACTCAAATCTTATGTTGGAGATTTGAGGATGCGCGATACACTGGTACCGGTTTTGATTCCAACCTTTGATATCAAACTACAGCAGCCAGTCATATTTACTACTGCAGAGGTAGAAAAGGAATCTAGATTATTTTCATATGCAATGGTTTTCTAACAAGAACTTAAGAAACCAGGCTATTGCTGATGCTTCCAAGAATGCGTTTCTGAGAGACGTTGCCCGAGGAACATCCGCCGCTCCAACGTATTTTTCGCCCGTGGAATTCGAGACGACCGAAGGAACACGCTTCAATCTCGTGGATGGAGGCCTCGCCGCAAATAATCCAGTTACATCACCACCTTGACCCTGTATCACTAAATCTTTCTAATTCTCAATGTTCCAGGCCTTCCTTGCTATGGTGGAAACTTTCAAAGAATCTCAGGGTGAGGGAAGCATGACCCCGCGAACAATATTCCAGGTAATCCATCGTAGTGTTCGATATAAATCAACTTGCAAAGGTATATGGTTTCCAGAGATTTGAGGATTTGCTGGTATTATCGCTTGGCTGTGGCAACCAAACTGTGAGTTACAGCGCCAAGGAAGCCGCGGGATGGGGTGCTTTGAGCTGGGTGACGCACCGCAATGGACCGCCAATAACGAATATGCTCCTCAACGCGAGCTCGGACATGGTGGACTATGCAATCTCGGCGCTCTTTCAGGTCGGATTGTGCGAGGAAAACTTCTTAAGAATCCAAGTAAGAGAGATCGTATGCATGAATTGGGAAATGCTTAGTTTATTTCGTGGTCAGACGTCCACTTTGGAGAACGCGACTGGGCAAGTTGACAATTCAAAGCCAGCCAACCTTGCGGAGCTGGTTAAGATTGGGAGGCAGCTGATCAAGGAGCCGGTCAAGCGGGTCAACTTGCACAATGGCTCTTACGACCTTCGGCCGGGCATGGAGACCAACGGGGAGGCCATTCGCAGGTTTGCAAATTTACATTTTTAGGCTGAAAGCTACATGATCAACAAAAACCAGGCTTGCAATCCGGCTGTCTCAAGAGCGTAACTTAGGGTACAGTTGAGCTTACCCGTTCGAACGTGGGACGTGTAGGGTACAGTTGAGCTTACCCGTTCGAACGTGGGACGTGCAGCCGTGTCTTACAACTGTTACGATCGGAAAAATTCCTTCCTAATCTCTGCTCCACTCAATTCTAGAATAAGTTAGTTATTTATATAAATCAAAGGACGTACAGAATTACGCAAGGCATCCAATTGCGTATGCATTTTGAGGTTTACGAACAGACAGGTGTACACCTTGAGATCAGTATGCCATAAGACGCTTATCCTTAGTGTATTGACGAGGCAAACGTTGCAGTGTCCCTTTTCAAAAGCACGACTCGCATTTATAAAGAGTACATAACAAATGCGTCACGGATCCTAAATAATATAAGTATGATCCATTCCTTGGCACAGCTCCGCCCGTTTACTCTCGGGAGAATCTTCCATCGCACAGGAGTTTCATGGAAACAAGCAGGAGAAGGAAGTGTGTCTTGAGCATCGATGGCGGTGGAGTGAGGGGTGTTATTCCCGCAACGATTTTAGAGTACCTCGAGGAGTGCTTACAGGTTTCTCTTGGAAAAAAAGCAGAGTCAAAGCATCAACTTTCATGTCTCTCTGTGTTTTCTCTTTTTTTCCGAAACAGGAGCTAGATGGTCCTAGCGCCAGGCTCGCGGATTACTTTGACACCATCGCTGGAGCCAGCACTGGAGGGATCATCGCTGCAATGCTGGGGACTCCCGGCAAAGACAATCGGCCAAGGTTCACGGCGAAAGAGGTCACTGGGTTTTACTTTGCGAATGCGCAGAAGATATTCCCGCAGTACTTGTACGTTCTCCTTGTTATTTTGATAGAAAATATTTCGAGCTGACTCTCACTTTGACAGTCTCAAAAGCGCTGCTGGATTCTTCGGGCCAAAGTACTCCGAGAAGCCTCTGGAGAGTCTCCTACGCGAGTATATTGGCGACTTGAAGATGGGAAACACACTCGCTCCTCTTGTCATTCCAACCTTCGACACTAAACTCCAGCAGCCTGTGTTATTCGCAACTTCAGAGGTTTTTGTCCTTGCAATTTGTGTCTTCTGATAAAAGACGTTCAAGACTTTCAGGCCAAAACAAACGAAACCAAGAATGCGTTTCTACGAGATGTTGTCCGGGGCACCACTGCGGCTCCAACTTATTTGCCTCCAAAATATTTCAAGATGCCTACAGGACAGGAATTCAACTTGGTTGATGGCGGCCTCGCCGCAAACAATCCAGTAATTTTTCACAGTTTTTTTTCCGTTTGCTCAACTATTTTCTATCTATGTACAGACTTTTATAGCGATTGTTCAAGCTCTCAAGGATTCACAAGCTCAGGATCCAGGATTAGTAGGCACTAAACTGCTCGAGGTAAATAGATTAAACTAATGGAGCTTCTCGTTGTTTATTGTAAACTCTTATCAGAAATTCGAGGACTTGCTGGTGATTTCTCTGGGTTGTGGCAATCAAACCGTGAGCTACACGGCCAAGGAGATAGCAACATGGGGGCCTCTTGGCTGGGTGGTTCATCAGAACGGGGCTCCAATCATCAACATTTTCTCTAACGCAAGCTCCGACATGGTCGACCACACCATCTCGTCGCTCTTCCGGCTTGGTGTGTGCGAGCAGAACTTCCTTCGGATTCAGGTGATAGAAAAGTCGAGTTTGAAAAGGTTGTGAATCTGGCTTTTCTCTTTTTGACAGACTTCTGAGCTCGAGGGCAGCATTAGCGAAGTTGACAACTCGAGCTTGGAGAATTTGAAGAAACTGGTCACGGTTGGGAAAGGTTTGTTGAAACAGCGAGTGCAAATGGTGAATTTGGAAACTGGTGCCTATGAAATTATTGCCAATAGGACTGAAACTAACCAAGAAGCCATTAAGAGGATGGCTACCTGGTTATCACAAAATAGAAAGGACAAAATTCCATAACATTTTCGAACTATTTTTAACAAGACTTTTAATAATTACTAAGAATCTTGTTTGATTCCGCAAGAAAAACAGTTGATAAGTAGAAACTCTGCACTGTTTGAATACTAACGAACTTACGTAGATGTTTTTCTTTTTGGGTTTAAATTTGGGGGGTTGGGCTTAAGGCGGTAGTGTAAGGCCAAAGCAACACGTCGGGTAGCAAGCTACCGGTGACCATCCTCCCACAAAAAATTAGGTTAATAGCGTTGGGACACGTGGCCGCATATCAGCTATTAAACTGATAAGAACAGATACTACACTTGATCTTAACCAAAAGGCCGAGAAAGGTATGAGTTTTAATTGCCCCCACCCCTCTTTATATACTCTAGCCCGGGCACGACTCTGCGCCTTCGCATGTGGGATAGGCGTGCGCTTACGTGTCTCGCCCTAACAAGGGCACAACTGTCACGTTTGGGGCAAAAGAAAAGGGTTTTTTAGGGAGGTTTTAGGGTTTCTTCTCTGGAAGGATGGGTGGAAGGGTTACGACCATGAGGCCACTGTGGTGGTTCTTTAGTGTTGTTTCATGCTTGGTCACTTTGTCCAGCCAGTTGTATTTCTACACCGCCTATTTCACGCTTGCTCCTCCAACATTGATCTGCGCTGATTGCCCTCGCCCGAGCTGTCGATCCAACCATGGGTATCGCTGGAGCTACCACTACATGGACAACTTCGAGATTGGTGAGCAGTACTCTGCGATTAGATACTGGCGACTCGCTTGCTTCACTGATGCCCTGTACATCCTGCTTGTGCTCGGCTCTCTTACAGGAGGTAAGCGGTTTACTTTTCTTGCTTTCTTTTGCTCAACAGGAGTTTTCGCTCAGGTGCCGTTGGAGTTCTTGCCTATTTCCACTATAGGTGGTGCATGCTGATCAGCGTTGCTGTCGGAGCAATCAGTGCCGCACTGAGTCCTCTGGCACCCACATCTTCGTGGTTCATCGCGTTGCAAGTTTTGTCAGCGATGGGGCATGCTTGTGCGGCGGTGGCATCAGTTTGCAGGCTTGTGGAAGAAGTCCCAGTGCCTAGCCAGGAGGAGGAGGTTGAAGAAGGTGGGACAAAGTCCTCAGTAGTAAGTTTCATACCAATGGTTGGAGCCCTCTTCATCTCTACCACGCTGAGCTTTGTAGTCCCAGCGTATAGTTTTTATTCAGATTGGAAGCGGGGAAACATGGTGGTAGCCCTGGCGGATGCTGTTTTGATAGTGGTGCTCACAGTAGAAATGGTAATACTAGCGGTGATTGATCGACGCAAGAACAAGATGGTCAAAGGCGTCAATTACTGCTAACATATAAGGGGCTCTTATCCTGCATTTGGCGACATTTCAGTCACTCCACTAGAACCATACAACCATAGAACCAGGAGGAGAGAGGTAGCTCACGTCAAACACTGTAATCTCAATAAAACTTCCAGATTTAAGAGATATGCTTGGATACTTGTACAATTCACAACAGGGATCTTCCAAGGATATGGCATGAGGGCGAACGCTTTTTGCGGCCACTTGGACAAAATGGTGGATGCTATCAACGCACTTGACAAAGTCACCAGTGTCGTCTCCTGGACTGGGCTGATTTTGAGATATGTCGCGAGTGGCCAGCAAATGCTGGCATTGAGATTGTTTGCTGCTATGCAGGCCGAAGGAGTTGCTCCAGATTCCCGGACTGTCGTTGCTGCTTTGCGGGCTTGCACTGGCTTGGCAGCGAGTCATGGCTATGGCGCTCTAGAAGCCGGGAAGAAAATCCATCACCAAGTGTCCATAGCTGGATGCGATATGAATCCGTTTGTGGTGAGCACATTAATTGACATGTATGCCAAATGTGGGAGCCTCATTGACGCTCGAATGGTTTTCGACAAGAGGTTCGCTCGTTACAACGTTGTGGCATGGAACGCAATGATCTTTGGCTACGTGAACAGCCACCAGGAAGGAAAAGCACTGGATCTCTTCTCAAACATGGTCAAAGAGAGAGGCTGTGAACCGACAAGTCGGACTTTGGTTGCGGTGCTCAAGGCTTGCTCGGGCCTAGCGGAGAAGGAGCTTGCCAAGAGAGTGTACGAGGATGGAGATTTGAGGCTTGTTAAGCTCCACTCGCTAGAGACGGGCATGGCGGTTCACTCATACGCTCGGAGTGCTGGATTGGACACTGATATCTTTGTTGCCAACTCCTTGGTCGACATGTATGCCAAGTCTGGCAGCCTGGTAAGCTCGGCTGGAGTTTTTGATGGCATGATCAGTCGCGACGTGATTTCCTGGACTTCAATGGTGCTTGGCTATGCCGACTGTGGTGGCGAGGAGATGGCATTGGAGGCACTGGCACAGATGCATCTCGAGGGCTGCAAGCCGAATTCTCTAACTTTCGCGGCCGCGTTCAAGGCATGCAGCAAGCTTGCAGCCAGGGAAACGTGGACGGAAATTCAAGGCCGGCGTGTGAAACTCGTTGCTCTCGAGAGAGGCATGGCTTTGCATTCTCAATCTCTCAAGCAAGCCAAAGCCTGTGATGAGTTTCTGCTGAGCAGTTTGGTGGATCTGTATGGAAGGTGTGGGAGCCTTGCTGATGCTCGCCATGTCTTCGGCCAGACGCGGAGTCATCCTGTTCCTCTCACGTCCCTGATGCTGGGCTACACCGAGAGTGGCGAGGCAAGAACCGCCTTGGAGCTGTTCGAACAGGAAAGGAAAGCTGTAGATGCTCGGGCATTTGTGGCCGCGTCGAGAGCTTGCAAAGCTCTAGCAGAGGAAGAAGAGGCCAGGGCCCTGGATGGCAAGAGTGTCAAGGTTGGAGCTCTAGAGACATGCATGGCGATTCATTCAGCGGCTGCAAGGTATGGAGTTGACTCGAGCACATACCTGACGAGCTGCCTGATCGAAGTATATGCCGGCTGCGGGAGCTTGTTGGATGCTGTAACCATTTTCAACCAGAGGAAGTTCCAAGACGTTTTCTCGTGGACAGCTTTGATACTTGCGTATGTTGGAAACGGGCAAGGAGGGCCTGCCTTGCAAGCCTTCAAAGTCATGCAAAGGTCGCCTTGTTTCTCATTCGCGAATGCTCGCTGTTGTGCTGTTGGTCTTGCGGCCTGTGCTGCATCTGGGGATTCAGAGGCTGCCAGGAAACATTGGCACGAGATTTACAGGCGTGGTATTGAAAGACTCATAGATTAGATTGCATTGATTTATTTCAGCTGCTTATTTCGATCTATAAATATATTATTTCACCGTAGAAATGACAACTATATGTTGGGAATGCTCATGTATTTATACTGGATAAAAATTACAATACAATATAATATAGATATATTTATCAATACAAGGAGAGATCTTTGGAGAAATTATTATGTACTATATATATATAAAACTAAAACTCTATAGACATGTAATTTAACACTATATGATTTACCACAATGTCTATAACTAAATGTTGTGTTATTTCCATGAGGGTTGGTATATCCTCCTCCACTTGAATGAGCTTCAAGACTGTTCTGAAAGTTACAATCCCAATCCCAATTGTTATTGCGATATATAAAAATTTACAAACACCACTAAACGTATCTGGACTCTATGAGCTTAAGTCTTTCCTGGTTCTTGAAAATGATTAAAAAAATTTGATAATTACAATTATAACTACTGTGCAATGTCATCATTGAGCATTTCCATTTATAAATTATAAACTCTTTCTCTCACTCTCTGTTTTTTTTATTAGAATATATTCTATCCAAATATATGGTAAGTATATCCTACCTATTCTTAATTGGGCATAGAATATGCTCTGATTAGATCCTCTTCGAAATTCATTAACTTGCATTAATGCACACCCAGGCTGCGTGGGTCCTCCAAAGTTGCTATAAACGAGAGGCCCTCCCTGGAAGAATATCTAGCGAGTTGTGGAAGAGAAGGTATGTCGTTCTTGTCACCGCCGCAAGCTTCCACTTTTGTGCTGGACGAACTTGTGATCCGCTCGCTCTTGCACCAGATCTCGAAGAAATGGCGATCAAGATCTATGGCATTCCCATGTCAACTTGCACTGGCCGGGTCCTCTACACCCTCAAGGAGAAGAGCCTCGATTACGAGCTGGTTCCCGTCAATCTGGCCACCGGAGAGCACAAGCACCCTCAGTTCCTCGCCAAACAGGTACATATCTTTCCCAAAATCTCGGAAAACTAATCCTTTCCTCACATTCCCTGTGCGTAGCCCTTCGGACAGATCCCTGTGCTCGAGAACGAAGGCCTGACCCTCTTCGGTGAGTAACTCGGAAGACATTTCAATCCCTGACGGCCAAAGTTCTTCCCCCAAAATGCAGAATCCCGAGCGATCTCCCGTTACATCTGTGACTTGTCTCCCAAAGGAGAGCCGCTCTACGGGAAAACCCCCGAGGACCGAGCACTGGTCGAGCAGTGGCTGGAAGTGGAGTCCCAGAACTTCAACCCCCCAATCTCCACCATCGTCTTCCAGCTGGTCTTCTCCAAGTTCCGCGGCCTCACCCCGGACCAGGAGGTGGTGGAGAGCAACCTCAAGAAGCTCGACTCGGTGCTGGCCATCTACGAGAGCCATCTCGCCTCCCAGGACTACCTTGCCGGCAGCTTCTTCTCACTGGCCGACCTCTCGCACGTCCCGTATCTCCACTATCTCATCAACGTGGCCAAGAAGGGTGACGTCGTCACCTCCAAGAAGAACGTCAGCGCGTGGTGGGAGAAGATCTCGTCGCGACCGGCATGGCAGGAGGTTGTCGCTGCTGCCGCTGCTGCTCCGTGATCGTCACGGTTGAAGATCTCCAATAATAAGTGGAGCCGACGACTCCGCGTCTCAATAAGTTTTTGCCGCTGCTAGTGCGATTCGTTTCCAAGTTAAGACCAAGCTTTGAGTCTCTGTTTCCAATCTTGTCTAGTTTCTCGCTGTCAGATCGTCTTGTCTCGGTTGTCTCGGTATGAGATCGTCTTGTCTAGTTGTCTCGGCTCGGTTTGAGAGCCAGGGAAAATGTCACTTCTTTCGAGAGTATTCTCATAACAGTTCCGCTCGGGTGGACTTCTTGATGCGTGGGAAGGGCCGCGATTCGCTCCAACGCGGAGAAGCCCGAGGCACTAGCTACCTGCGGGATACGGTAGGCATCACAATAGTCGCCATTCGAAGTCAAGAATTACCTTTCCCCATACGGAAAAGCTGCCATCCCACTCCGGGTGGTCTTCGAGACTGAAGAAAAACTCGCTTGTGCGCTGAAAATCGAAGCTGGTTAGTAAGGAGACGGAAGTAAAAAGAAAGCCTACCGTGATCAACGACAATGTTCCTTTGGTGTGCTTCCATCTGGACTCAACAGGCAGGTCGACGTCCTGCTGCTTTCCGCACGAGAATAAACCACCTTGTACAAGCGCATACCTGTTACATGTTTTCGTTTTCGCATCAACAGACCAAAGCAGTGAACTACAAAACAATACCCTTTCCGAGGAACTATGCTACCTTGATCATATGTATCACCAGGTGGTTCAGCTCGATAAAAACTACAACCATTGTATGTGCCTTTGGCAACCAGATCCTGCGGCAAAACTCCAAAACTTAGAAGTGCACTCGGGATATAATCTCCTCTACTTGCCTTGATGAAAGATACTGTCTCAGGAGCAGCTGTGGTTGCAAGCTCGACCTCGATCTCCTGTTTCTTAAACCAGTTTAATTTTTAAGAGAGCGCAAAATCATACAGACCCCAAATTCGGTGGAGAAAAGCAAGCACTCTGGCCGCTCAAAGAGAGAAACTGTAACAACAATCAAGAGGGTCAGGCCAGATCTTGACAACCCATCGCTGGACAAACCGTTTTCTCGAAAATTCTGGTTGCTGGCACCAGTACCAGCAGTAGCTAAAGAAACCTCTGAGTAGCCCACGAACGCTTCATTCCTGGAAACGCATGCTACGACCACGAACCAGACACACAGTAGCAAAAGTCCAGCTCTGGAAGAACTCATCCTCTCAAGAACCCTACAAAAGCAGTGAAAAAAGTGAGAAGATAACCAAGTCCAAAGCACAGGAACTCACCAAGCTTGCTTGGAGGGGAGCTTCAAAGACCTGTAAGCCGTGAGCACAAAGAGAGAAGGAAAAGGAGAAGGAAGCAAACGAGGAAGAACACAAAGTTAAGCTCGCTCTTATTTAAAAGCGAAGGAGGCAGCCAGTAGCGATTTACAGTGATAGTAGCGATCATTCTCCTCGCGTGCTTTCTAGATCGCTTGCTTGCCGTGCCTTCTAGTCACCACTGGCGCAACCCTTGCAGCCACACTGGATGCATTCCAGGACTTTCACTTCCCTGCTCTCGCGAGGCACCCGGCACAGGCAGTTGGTCCCGAAGTTGTGATCCCTGGGCTGGATGCATCTCAGGCAGCACAGCCGCTCGTAGCCGGGCTTCTTCCACTTGGCGATGAGGTTCTTGTCCACGTAGTTCTGATCGACGCAGAAGTCGTAGAGCTCCTTGGAAATCTCCTTCTTCTTGTAGTAGAGATCGTATATGTAGCGGCTCTTCTGGTGCGCGATCTTGAAAATCGGCCACGACGCCTCGCAAATCCTCTTGCCGTCGTCGGATTCATTCACAGCTGCGCAAGAGAGAGCACAACAAGGGATAATATTTTCATCATCCTCGCGGGGAGCCGAAATCTCAGCGGCGCTTAGCTTGCTTACCTTCGCGCATCTTGCCGTCGAAGGAGTTGAGCGTCTCCTCGATCACCGCCCATCCCTCCGGGTACTCGACCTTGCTCGTCCGGACCCTCGGCATCGCGCAAGAAGAACCCTAAATGCCGGCTCTTAGGGCTTTCTTTATAGTTTAAAATGCTCACAGTTGAACGTTGACAGTTGACTGTATGACCATATTTACAGCTAAAGAGAATGTTGAACGTTCAACTGGCTTCAAACAGACGATGGGCTTCAAGGTCCACAGGCACAATCTAGCGGCATGGCAATGTCTACTTGTTAGAATCATGGACACAGTAGATGCCACGGCGAATAAAGGATTAATCTTGGCCTGAGCTTCAGCTTGAGCCAAGCTTGTCTATCAAGTCATCCCTGGCTACAAGCTCGTCCAAAACCATGGCAGCATCACCACGAGTGTAGTCGGGGCTGCTTCGAGCAAGACGAGCGAGGAGACCAGACACGGCGTCCTGTCTCATTCGCGACGCCACTTTCCCCCATTCCATCCCCAGTCCCAACTCCGCTGCTGTGATTAGCATCGAGGGAGAGCAGCTTGTGTGTGCTTGAACAGCTCGTCCCAGATCTTGTTGTTGAATGCCGCTCGTTGTGCGTTGGTCAGGCAACAATTCCGGAAGAACGCCTCTGCGTCAGACTTGCTGAAGTTTCCAAGCCCGAACCATTGATAGAGTCCCTGAAAGTGTGGTCGACCGAATATGCCAAAACCACAAGCGCCGCCTGCTTCTGTTTCGTCAGGCACGCCAAAAAACTCTAGTGCTCGTTCCGATACTTGTTCTGCCAATCGTAACTGGGCATGTGTGAGGATTGTCCAGGACGAAATTCTTGAAACACCGCAGCACCGGCGACAAGCTGGATGCTTTGTTCGCCTCGTCTTGCATTCTCGAGAAGAAGTTAGCCGGATCAACAGCAGCTTTCCCTCCAGACAACAACTTCCCGATCCAATTGTTACCTCTGTGATCTGAGCCTCCATTCCCCAGCGCGGAAGCAAGCACATGTCTCAGGGATATCTGGACCAAGTTCTGCCTATCGTTCTCATTGATTTGAAGTCGGGCAACTTTTCAACGTTCGCCCTATGTGATTCTTTCACTAGCAGTGTGCTCATGCCTTGGGACCCAGCATGACGATGGCATAGCACATAATGGAATTTTGTGGACACCTCATTTGATATAATAGGAAGAATTTATTTCTAGGTTTTTCGAAAGGTTTTTATAAGAAGTGGCTTTACTTTCTGGTGGCCTACAATCTAGATTCCATGTCAATGACTGCAATATCTCAGATATAAGGTTGTCCATTTGCATTTGTGTGAAGTTTTCTATTATTTGTGCCAAGTTATTCAAGATAATGTTTTATGTTTATATTATTATTTAAATTATTTTTGGTTTGCTTGGTAGTGGATATACCTAAAATATGCTTGAATATCCTAGAATATTTTACCATTTAACCAATTTTGCATTTTGTTTGTAATTTATAAAATTTCTAGTATATTTTTGTTTATTCTATAATCTCGATATATAAATTATAAATGAATGACCACTATAAGGAATAGTCAATTTGGAGTCTAGATATGTGCATACTCTCAAATATGAGGCTAGCTCCCAAAAATACAAATAGTCTCATCCGAGTAGGTTTGCTCTTCCTCACTGCAAGGCCAGTATTTGACACCGTGCCTTTGAGTTATCCATAGGCAGCATCCAGCTTTGCTCTCGTCTTCAATGAGCTCAAGCACTCCTGAAATCTCTGTTTGTTGACAATCACATATTTAAAACTGGCTCACCATTGTTAACTTTCTCCATTGGAATGAAGCCATCAGCAGCATCGATCATGGTAACTGGTAAAAGGTTTCCCATAGGTGTGTCTACGAACTAAAACGAGGAAGCACCTGTTACTATGTTGCAGACATAGGATACGCATATAGATCAGACCTCAGGGCAAACAGCATTTACTCGGATTCCTTCGCTTCGAAGATTCACCAGTGATCTTGTCAGCATGACAACACCGGCTGTGCACAGATCATATCAGAAAATGGAATTCTATGTTTTTCACCATTCATGAATCAAACCTTTGGACGCAGCGTAAATTGGTGCACATGGTGCTGGATAGAGTCCCAAGGCAGATGCAAAGTTTATGATACATCCTGGTTTACCAAGGGATTTCATGGCCTTAATCTGCAGCAAACAAGAGAGGATCTGCTTACAAAAGTAGCAAAACAAGGCAAAATTCTTTACTTCAAGTCGAGTGCACTCTATTGTGCCATTCAGGTTGACATCGACAAGTCGACGCCAAAGCCCCTGCTCGTCGTCAATGAAATCACTCGTATGAGCTACTCCAGCACAGTTGATGCAAATGTCCAGACTTTTGAAGACGGCGATGTGCTGTTCAAATGCGGACGAGATCTCATCTGTTCTAATCACAAATAAAATGAGCTGGAAGACAAGTTGCTTTGGATTGGGGCTATGCTTTACCTGGTTTTGCTACATCACACCGAATACATATCGTAGAAGGTTTGTCTTCAACCTGCAGCTTCTCATACTCCTGCTTGACCATCTCAAGCGTCTCCAGGGCATTTTTCTCAACAATATCGAGCACAGATATGCTTGTACCTTTCTTAGCAAGAGCCACAGCCAAGGCCCTGCCTGGAGAAAAGAACAAGAGAAACAGATCAAATCAAAACCAACACTTAGCTATACCAATTCCAGAACCGGCTCCAGTGATGAGCACAGATATTCTTTGCTCAAGCTCCATTACACTGACAGAAGGCGGACCCTTTCAACAAGCAGACAGGAACATTTCAACGACTGACAGAGGTTAAGTGAAAATTAAGTTAGCACATCTAAATTGAAATCTCCGCGCTCTTTAGAAATTAGCGTGGAAGGGAGTATAAGCCTTGAGGTCCTGGTAGATCCCTTCGATGGATCCGATACCCGCGGCGATGGAGATGACTAGACAAAACGCGCTGATGGCTTGGAGCTTGAGCCACCGCATCGACCACGTTTTGATCTGGGCTTGCTTGATGTGCATCTGGATCGGGAAGTAGACGGTGAGAGGCCAGAAGCCCATCGCGCCCAGCAAACCCAGCACGTCGTTGAAGAAGGGGATCGCCATGGCTATCACTGTGGTTGCTATCACGAAGAGGCTTCTCCAGACGAGCCGGAAGAGCGTGGTGGAGTACCTCCAGTGAAGGAGCTTGATCTTGTGAGTGGTGTTGAGAGCGCTGTGTGGCCATTTCTCCAGTGCCCAGGCTTCGACGAAATCGAATAGAGGCTGACTGTACACCTGATGGAAGTTCCATGCCAAGTTGGTTTTCAGAGGAGAGTTCTTACATTGATCCTTACCTGGTAAGCTCCAACCAAGTGGAGAACGATGCAAGCGTTTGAAAAGTCAATGAGCCAGTAAGGCTTTTCGAAGCCTTGGCTCAGTAAGTTTCCAGGAGCAGAATCACCAAAGGCCGCGTAGTTGACACAGGCGATTGACATGTAGAAGGCAGTCGTGGCTAATACTCCAACGAGTGTTGCTTTCTTCATTGTCTTGTTCTCTGGAGGTGTTGATCTTAGCGTGTCCTGTCGAATTAAGAAACATGAGATGTGTGTTGGATAGAGAGCTTTGTCGTGATGGCTACCTGAATTTCGATCAGAATCATTGAAAAAGAGTAGGCAAACGCAACGTTTCCCAGCGCCTGGAACACCGCCCAAGTCTTTTGAGCCGGGGTCGTCACTAGACCACCAGGACTACCAGAAACACGACCGTTTCCTGCGAATTCATGTAGAGTTGATATATGCGTCGCGAGAAAAAATAAAAAAAATAAAAATAAAAATCCAAAACATACATGCCTATAAGTTTCGCCAGCCCCAGGACCAAGACGATTGTTGAATACGTGAAGGACATGGCTGTCGCAAGGTACGAAAGCCACCATAGCTCGTGGAAGTTTGGGATTTGCGAGAAAACGAGCTGGATCAACCCGAAGGCCGTCACGTACAGATTGACAGAGACACCGCATCCCAACGCTTTCGAGCCTTTGGTGTGAAAGCAATTCGCTCGAGCGATTGCTCTGCGAAAGAAAAAAGAAACAAACGAATCAGTCATTCAACGCTTGAAAGAGAAAAACACTTACGCCATGCTCAAAGCACCGGTAACAGTGTATCCCACCGCAGTGGCAGCCAAATTACTGTACTGAGCCAGCGCGCACAGCCACAATTCCACTCTCCCTACAAGGACAACAAAGAGGTTGGAAAAAAATGACCATTGGAAGAAAAAACTAAAAGAGAAGAGAACAAGAACACTCACCCAATGTGACTTTCACAGCGTCTTTGTATCGATAGTTCCGCTTCCCAGTGGTGGGATCCGGGAACCTGTAGCAATCGGCTAGCAAGGCCGAGGTGTAATAAGTCAAATAAGCAAAGATGAGCAGCACAATCGGGCCGGCGATCCATCCCAGCTGCGCGAAGCTCCAGGCCAGGGAGAGGACCCCGGATCCAATCACGCCAGTGATTACGTGAGCGGCCGCCGACCACACCGTCCCTGGAAGATTTGGGGGAATGGAAATCAAAACAAGGCTCCAAGAACGCTGGAAATCCGTGGATTCTCATCGCATACCTTGGCGCTTGGGGCGGCCGTCGTCGTCCTTGTCGATCGCGGCTGGCGGAGGAGGAGCGCCCGCCGCCTCCATGGCGGCCTCCGCCTTCATTTGGAGGAGCGAGCTCTATCAAAGGCCAAGGAAGAAAGAAAGAAAATCCCTCTCCTCTTCTCTCCCAAGAAACGCTTCTAAAAGGCCTTGGACGAGTGTGCACAGAAATTCAAACATTGCTGGCTGCGCTGCGCCTATTCTTCCTCCCAGCGAGGATTTGCCTGGAATAAAAAATCTTGACCGCTGGTCAATGCTGGAATATTCTTTCTCCTTACATGGAGAATATTCTTATTTTCTTACGGCATTTTTGCTTAGACAGGGGTTAGGGTTCTTGGAGTGCGATGGAGGTGGAGGCTGCGGCAGGCGCAGCGCAGCCGCAGCGGCAGGGATTCTCCTTCGGATGTAAGTCGCGAGTAGATCGGAGCGATTTCGGTGCCAATTTCTCTCTCTGTGGTCTCGCCAGTGCTGGAGATGATCAATGCTTCGCAAGCGGAGCATGGATTGCGCCACAAGGATTACAAGCGCTACAAGGAGTACTGCACGAATCGGCTGCGGCGGCTGTACAAATCGGTCAAGTTTACTCACGGCCGGGGGAGATACGTGAAGAAGCCTCTGGGAGTCGCCAACGTCTCGGAAGTCAGGTTTGAGGCTAAGAGGACGAGCTTGACGCGCTCAAGATATATTTTCTCTTGACAGGCATCTCCACATTGCCCTCTACTTGGCCGAGAGAGCTTGGAGCCAAGCTATGCATCTCAAAGAAGAAGCTCCAACTGGGAAAGGGCGCTATCACTGGCTTGGACGATTGAGAAAAGCCTGCAAGTGGGCAGATTTACTCGAGTCTCTTTGCAACGAGAAAGCGAATCCTAGGACAGCGCTCGAGGCCACGGTAAGGAATCAGTCTCTCGTTTCTCCAAGTTCTCATTTTTCTTTGACTGGAAGGCGTATGCTTCCTACTTGAGGGGACTTCTTCTTGTAGATGCCGAGAGGAACTGGCAATTTGCTTTGAGAAAGTTCAAGAATGCTCGGTAAGGCACTGATTACGTGGAATATGTTTCTTTTTTTTTATCTCTGTGAAACAGGATCATCTACGAAGAACTTGGACGGTATGGAGACGCTGACAATCAGATCCTTTACAAGCAGCGTGTTGAAGAAATTGAACAAAACATTCGCCATTGCTTGCATTCTCTCCAGCAGATGGACGATGCGGAAGGTCCTGAGGATGAATCAGACCGGGAACTGCATGGTAAATTAGAGGTACGACCTTTACAACTCTGAAGTATTGTTTATGACTCTTAAGCATTGCAGGCTGTTATGGTAGAAGTCAAAACACAAGAAGAGATCTCAACAGTTTGTGTCACCTGGTTAGGACACAAATTCCCAGTTCATAATATCAAGACACGAGCTTGTGTCTTGAAAGGTTAGTCTAACGTTGAAGACATTGCTTTATTTTTTGTTCTCATCTTCTTTGTCTGATGTTACAGTTCAAAATCTTGAAAGAGAGCTTGGGTCTTCCTCGACAGCGGAGAAAAAACAGGGACTGTACGAGAAAATCCTAGGAGGTTATCAAGAGGCGAGGAAGAACATACGCGAGGACCTGGCAACAGCTGGAAATGCTGACAATTTGCGGGACTCGTTGATCGGGCTGGACAAAGCTGTTAGCTGCTTGATTTTTGCAGGAACGATCGAGCGTGCCAGACTGCAATTGTCTATAGCCAAGAGCCGGCTGAGTCGGCAGCAGGATCTTGCAACGCTTCAAGAGATCGTGACACTCTGCGATACTTTAAACACTGTAAGTACTTCTGCGAGCTGCAAGGAAAGATGGCTAACGCTCTCTTGACTGCAGAACCTTATGGAGCTAACGGATTTGGCAACATCTGGAAGAGAGAAAACGGACGAGGAAGAAAAGTATGCCCTGGAGCTGTCTGCGAGCCAGGTTCTCTACCGCGCTGAGAGGTAACAAGCCTGCGCTTAAGCATATAGTTTGCTCCACTGACCGATTGCATTTTCTAGATGCTTTCATCTCGCACAAGCGTATAGCCTCCCAGGCCAACACGCTGAAGCATTTGCGTTGCTTGGGCGTGCTCGTGAGCATGCCGAGTCCGCGCTCCGGCTTCAGAAGAAGAACGAATCCCTGGTGGAAGAAATACAGGAGCTTATAGGCCGATGCAGAAGTGAAAGTCTTTTGGCCCATGCCCGAGGTGTGATGCAGAGCCTCGAGAAGCAACAAGAAGCCCAAGAAGGAGTTTCCTCCCTGAGTCTCGCGGAATCAAAGGTACTCGTAGCTCTCTCGATTCGATTGCATTGGCTTGAGCTGGTTTCCTTGTTCCAGGATAACTATCTTCTTTCTCAGCTGGACAAGTATAAGTCAGCCTTGGGCTCGCCTGGCGCGGCACCGCGAATCTCACAAGTCCCTCCCGCTTTCAAGGCCGTCCCTTGCCGTCCCATATTCCTGGACACGGCCATCAATTCCATCGAGTTCCCGTCGTTGGAAGCTCGTCTCAAAGAGAAGAAGAAAGGCTTGTTTGGACGATGGGGATGGTAATAACTTTTTAATTGTCATTTTGTGTCCAAGGCTTTTAAGGTTTATGCGAAAGAAAAATAGTATCTTGCGTTCTTCCGGACTTGGATAGGTTCTTTCAGAGAAGTGAAACGCTCGGAGAAAACGCTGCGGACGATTGAAGGGCTTGAGATGGAAGTATCTTTTCGTCTTAAATTCTTGAATTCGTAAGTAGTGCTTTGTTTGAGTAACTTTTTTTGATACACTGTTTTACATGTTTCAGTGCTTGGAGTTACTTAGATCGCAAACGCAGTAAGTCATATCCATCTATCTGATTCACACTTCTTCTGCTGGCCTTGAAAGTTCATCACACTTTCTTTCCTTACACATTCGTCGTCCCCTCGTCCTTACTGGAATGTTTTGAGCATACCAAGTGTGATCGTCTAGTTAGGTGCTCGCACTCTGTCACGTTTTCCCGTACCAAGTCTAGAAAGCCTCTACCCGATGTAGAAAGAAGAAAGAAGAAAGAAGAAACTCACCACCATCCAGATGGATTCTTTCAAAGGGCTCCTGTTTTGGATATTGTCTTTGAACTTGGTTGTCCTGATCGGTTTTCGAATGAACTGGATGAAACAGGATACAGCAGCTACGACTACTGCGGGATTAACTTCTGCGACCGCTGCTGCGGCGAGCAAAGCCAAGCTTCTTGTCGACTTGTGGAGCAGCGAGTTGGATGACCGATCGAGTTCCAGAAAGGCGACGATCAATGCACCGCACATCCAAGATTGCAGGCAAGTCACCGAGGCTAAAGCGACGTATGATCGCCGCGAAGATCCATCCTGGAGGTTCAAAGGATTTCTCCAACAAGGACAGGAACTTAACAGCGTCCATGTTCCAGAGACGACTATTCCATGGGTACGACTCTTTAGAAGCTATAACTTATTCGAGAAACACTTGTTCTTTCTCTCGTTTGGTTCTTACAGGCGAATGGCGGTGATGAAGATAATCTCCCGCTAACACGACGCGTCCAACGCGAGCTATGGTTGCACCAGCACCCCGAAAACTGTAGCAACGCGAGGTTTTTACTGGCTTTTTGGCACCACGACGAGACGCGGGACTCTGTTGGAGTTGGATCGGACATGGTGTCCATGGCTGGGATGTTTGGAGCGGCACTGATCCAAGGCCGGGTTTTCATCACCAAAGACTACCACGGCGCCAGGCACGAAGGATGCACAGGTTCTTAACTTGAGTAATTCCTTTTACCAGGTAGAGCTGGTCTTTCTTTAGGAGCCAACCACGCTCGCTGGTCATGCTACTTTGCTCTTGAGGCGTCCGAGGAGTGCATGGCCAGGGCATTGCAACTTTCGTCGCAGAAGGAGGCTTGGGACGAGGGAATTATCAAGGAGTTTAGCGGGGATCAATGGGATGGTCCGGTTCCAAGGTGAGAATTTGATATCTATTGCTTTTCTTGACATTGTTGTTTTGAAAACTATGTAGCTTCTGGGGGGAGCCATGGAAGGCAATGCAACCAACGGTGGGGCTCGACGGCAAGCTCCTGAATTACAGCGCAAACCATCGAAGATGGTGGAGAGCTCAGGCAAGTCTAGCGCTGCTTTTTGGTTTTTGAGAAAACAACTTTGAAGAGTTTGATTGATCCAGGCACTGCGCTACCTTACGCGATATCCCAGTGAGTACCTGTGCAACCTCCTCAACCAAGAGAGGCACAAGGCCTTCGGCGAGGAAGCAGCCAAGCTCGTGATCAAAACTCTTCCCGCCAGCGAATGGCCCGCTGGCTTGCAACTCAACGAGAGCAATCCCCTGGAGGAGCTGGTGTGGAGCAGCTATGGCCCCTGGATGCCGCGGCCTCTGGTGAGCATTCATGTGAGGCAGGGAGACAAAGCCAAGGAGATGCAAGTAATCTCGTTCGAGGAGTACATGAAGCTTGCAAACGTTCTTCGCAGGAGGTTTCCACACTTGCGAAACGTGTGGCTTTCCACGGAAATGCAGGTAAGCCATTTTCTTCCGAGCTCGCGGCCATTAAAACTTTGACTGTGTTTTAGAATGTGGTGGAGGAATCCAAGGAGTACAAGGAGTGGAACTTTTACTACAGCGACATTCCAAGGCAAGTTGGGACGGTGAGCATGGCCGAGTATATGGCGTCGCTGGGAAGCAGGCAAGCTTTCGACGCTAGCTACGTCAACTTGGTGATGGCTGCCGAGTGTGATTTCTTCGTGGGCGTGCTAGGCTCGACTTGGAGCTATATCATCGACGACCTGAGGATGACCAGCGGCAAACTCATGGCTGGCTTCCTCACCGTCAACTCTGTCAATGCCCTCCTCAAAAAGTAAAGTTAATTATATTATAAAATTAAAATACCTATAATCCTATGTGTATAATTTCAGAGGGAAGAAATTTGGAGAATTTATTGATTGTGAGAATCCGGTAAGGGTGATCTTGTAGGGCTAGAGACTGACGGTACCACTCAAGAAAGATACAAAATCTAGTAAACACCTGGATAAAGTATTTCATTAATGCCAGTAAAAAAACAATTCCGTTTGACACATCTTTTAAATATCAGACTTCTTCAATCAGAAATTGATGCCAGTTTCTGCAATATATGGAAAAGCATGAGACCTAGGAGTTTACTCTTCGGTCATTCAGTCTCTTTGCTCTTGCGAGGTTGGACCACCATGTGTTTGTTTTAAGTTCCATCTGCACTTGGACAGGTCTCTCCCTGAAAACGCTCTGCTGGAAACGAGGAGTCGAGATCTATACCATCCGTATAAACCAGAGATACCATCCGTATCCCCAATTTTATGCTATAAATTGCTGGCACCTTGTGTCTGTTCAAGCCTCCAAGTTGTATTCAGATTTCAAAAATGACGGTGAGTACATATTTCTTTGGTGTTGAGATGCTCATATATGTTTGTGTTCAGCATTGCTACATCAACAGCAGTACAGACATTCAGCTCTTAGATGATGGGAAGAAAGACTATCAGTACTACAGCCTGGCTGTGCAAAATGGCTCTCCTGTTTACGCCAATGCACTGGTTCCTGTCAAAGAACAACGTTGGAAAATCTCGCATCCGCAACACTTTGAACAAGAGCATGAATGCAAGAAGAATCATTGCAATTGCACCCTCCCAACGTCCCTCAGCTCCCTCCCCAGATGGATAAACGAGCACGCCAACAATTTGTGGAAGGTCTACAGTACAAAACATATCGTAAAGGAAAAAGAAAAAGATGTATAAATCAAACATAAATGATATAGTTATTAGTATACTACTTAACTTCTTTTAAACTCAATTGATAATAAATCTGATACTTTGTACAAGATCGATATCAAAATCCTCAATGCTTAATAAGATAGCTACCGAGTACGCAGGAATCCCCTGAGATCATTCAAGAACACAAATAAGTTGCTCCTAAACTTGCGACGAATGGAACGGTCTATCGTGGACGTGATCTCGATCCCTTTTGACAGCGAATGGAACGCGGTAGAGACCCGTTCTTGCGACACCACGTCTTGGTGTCTTTGGACGAGCTCTTGCTTAAGTTTCTGGCAAGACAGCGTTTATGAGCCATAAAACGAACGATTCACAACGGGATTACCTCAAACAGCGCGGTGTTGCAAAGAATTAGCGGAAGTAAAGCATCAGCGGCGGGCTCGACAAGATCATTACTGTAAACACCATCCAGTTAGATAAAAAACAAGGATACCAGCAAGCTTGCTCACCTGTAATCCTCGAACAGCAAGAAATGCATGAGCAGCTTTAGAAAATGAGACAGCACATCGTCGCCGCCGCTCGTACGCGATTGAGTTCCGAGGCCATCGTCGCCTTTGCACAGTGCTTGATACTGGAAGACACCTAGTGCACCGAGAGCACTCAATGTCATATTTACGACCTCCACATCCTGCGTAAGCGAGACATTTAGATGCAGAGCTCGTTGAGAAAACAAACACGAACCTGTTGCCGCAATCCAAACTCGAGTGTTCCTAAGATCTGGCTAAATCCTTCTGGTGATATCTTCGCCACCTTCTCAGGATAGACTTCCAGCATGTGCATCAGTAATGTAAAATACTAGCAAACGGGAAAAGGTTAGAGCTAGACGTCTGTCTACAGTATAACAGGATATTAAACCTGCCGGCAGAGCTTGGGGTACTTCAACAAATCAGCTGAAATGAGAGGGGTGATGATATTTAACCCAAGATACACAACCTGTGCGAAAACGTTACGCTACTACCACGATGAAAGAAACCAAGCTACCTGTGCTACATCGGGATTTTCGTCTGCATGCAGTGCAAAATCGAACTACACAAACGAAACAAGTTTTTAAAGAAAGATAAGCACCGCAAGGCATACCAAATCTTTGGAGCTCAGATTTGTAAGCAGCTGAAGCAATGCTCGGAGGTCTTTATATTTCTCGGTTTGCGCTTCATTTTGTAAGCTTCGAGATGTTGAAACAGAAACCTAAAGACACCGTGTGAAGCGACGTTTTAAACAGTAACAAAAACACGTACCTTGCCAATATTATGTGCAGAATAAACTGAGAGAAGCTGAACGCAAAAGTTGAAAACCGTAGTGGTGTCCTTGGGTTCTAGGAAAACAACTTCCGCGTCGACCCAGACCACAACATACTTTAGTAGCAAGTAAACAACAGATGGCTGCAAGAACAATGAATGAAAAACAGCAGCTCGTGAGCAATGCTACCTGATTTTTGTAGATTTCCATAAACACCAGCAAAGGCTTCATGATAGACACACCAACTTCAAATATGGCTTTTTGAGTTCGCGGTATTGTTTCTCTTGCTGCACCACGCAGCCTTTCAAGCACACAGCTCACCTGCACTGCATGTGAATAAGAGAACTTCTGACACAAACAATCTAACCTGGTGAATAACATTCGGTTGTTGAGAAAATGTCGCCAGGTCTTTCCTTCCAGAGAATTCAGCTAGGCTAGCAGCCATAGGCATAAGAAGATCCTTGACATACCTATAGCTTGGCATGTTAAGAACTAAGTTTTAAAACACCATCGACTTAACTGGTTTGCGGCATCAGCATTCGCCAGGCCTTGCGCAGATCGACATAAGCATCCGGATAGAGCTCGCTAGAACAT